AGGTTACTTAGGAGGTTGTTTTGGTTAATTATTTGATCAAGTCTTTGTGTAAAGATTTTAGTTAGACATTTTTTGAGAGGTTCTATAAGTGAGATTAGACAAACTTGATCCAGGGTATAGTCTCAGATTGATTTCTTTGGGATGAGAAAAATATTTGATATTTTCCAGTCTGCAGGTATTAGTTGTAATTATAGGCATTTAGATAGGAATGATTTGAGTATTTTTGACTTTGTTGTGAGGCTAGTTTGATGTGTTCATAGTTGGTATCAGAAGGACCTGAAGCTTTTTGATTAGGTAGTTGATTTATGGTTTTTAACCATTCTTTATCAGAAATTTCTATGAGAAGGTTATTGTAATGAATTTGAGTTCGGGTTGTGGTTTGTATAAGTCATAGAAATCAGAATCAGGAAGAATAGGTAAGAGTGATTGTTGTTGGAAGTAGGTTTGAAAATGTTGTTGAGTAGCTTCTTTGATATCTTTAGGATTGGTTAATAAAGAGTCCTGAAGAAGGAGTCTGTCTAGGTTGATATTGTTGTTATATCTTTCTAAAACTTTCTTGAAAAATAGTTTAGGATTTTCAGAAACATTTAAGTTCCTTTCTTGAAGTTTGGTTAAAATTTCTTGTTGTATTTGTTTTCTATTTTTCTGATCTATTAGTGTTTTTAAATTTTTGGATTCAGTTTTTAGAAGATTTCAAAGAATAGATGGTTGTAAATTCAATAAAAGGTTTGGTGTTAGAATTGTATTGCTTTGAATTTTTGGTAGTATTCATAGAGAAGGTTAGGAAGGTTGGATGATTTTAAGGATTTTTTGATTTTGATAAATGTTTTGTATTGGAAGAAGGTAGATGTGTATTTAATTTTTTGAGTAGATTGTTTTTCTTATATTACTAATATCTTAAAATTAACAATATGATAAAAAGATTGTTAAAATAACTTAACAGAATATAAATATTTTAATTATATTTTAATTATAGTTTAATTATATTTTAATTATATTTTTATTATATTGTAAATATATTTAGCAAAATCAAAGGTTTCTGCAAAGAAGTTAATAAGCTAAAAAAAAACATCTAAAGTTTTTTTTTATAATACCAAAAACTAAATTCGCTATAGTTAACACTAATAAAGTACAGGTAACTTATATTGATTTTCTTTTGTTATTTTGACTCTAAAAAAAGCTAATAAAAAAGCTAATATTTTTTAGTAAACCAAATATATTAGAAGCTAATAAAAAAGCCAATATTTTTTTTAGTGAACCAAATATATTAAACTATCAGGAGAAGAACTAAGCATGATATAAAAGAATGCAAGAGTACAAACCACCTACAAGGCTATACTAACATGAATAAATCTATTAGAAGAATTCTGTTTTGATGTCGAATATGAAGGCAAGATTGAAGTAGTAAGCTTCAAAATAGTTCTTGAAGACCAGTTATCAAGTTTATATATGCGATGAAGTGATATGATAGTAGTGAATACTATGCTTACTCAGTAAAAAGTTGTTTGGTAGCTATTTGGTATTATCTTAACCAGCACTCTGTTATAAGAAACCAGTTGATATACTTAAGCTGAAAGTATATTTTGATTTGAATCAAGTTATTAATAGTAAACTAAAGAACCTTTCTGCAAAAGGTTTTGGTGAATGTGTTGAAGTTAATAGTTTGATGTTAAGTAAGGTCAAATATATTTTTAATCATTCTGTGATTTAGTATAATAGTCTAGAAGGAATGCTATAACAATTTTTTTTTTAAATTCAACTTTGTTAGCATTATGAGGTGATGAATATCAAAGCCTCCAAATTAATAATTTTATTAATAGGATCAATCAAGGAATTAGCATTAAATTGTTTTTATTGAAGACTAATCAATGTGAGCTTAAGAATTATGATACACAAGCAGAAATGATTAACTTGCCCAATATAAAAAGCATTATTGACGATTATGAATTATATTTTGCTAAATGTTCAATATCTACTGTAACCAATTTTTATTTGAAACCTTGTTCTGTAAATTCAGATAAGTTATTTTTTTTGGTTATTTTATTTATTTTTATTGAATTTATAAATGTTTTTTAAGTTGAATTTAATAGACAATGGTATTATGGATGTGCGATCAGTAAGCAAATGTTGAGAAGTTATTTTCATACTATATGTGAAGCTACAAATATCCAGATTGGCAATTGTAATATTTAAAAGCATTCCAGAAGAAAAATGGCAGTACAAGTTCTAAAAGAACTTGAATACTCCAATTTCATTGTAATATTAATAATATGACACAAATTTCAAAAGGGTCTTGCTGCATATAAACAACCAAAATTATTAGGAGAGGGCCAGAAAACAAATGTTTTTTTTTGAGAAGAGGTGGTTTTTTCAAAAAATACATCTATATATAGAAAAATCTAGAAAATAAGAAACCTAGGGGTGAGAGGGTAATTTTGTAAAAAAAAATACATGTTTTTTGGCCCTCTCTTAATACAGTATGAAGGTATTAATAGATTTTTTAAGGTATTAATACATACTTCAAATGAAGTATTAAAAGATAAAATCTTTATAAATTCTGTTATTTCAATTTAATATTAACTAATTAATTAGTTTTTTTATTTTTTAAATAAAGCCAACAAAGCCAATGTTACTCCTAAGACAAATATCATTCCCAAAGCCAATATTACTTCCAAAGCCAAGGTTGTCTCTAAAGCCAATATTGCTCTAAAGCCAATATCGCTTCTAAAGCTAATAATATTATCTTTAAAGCCAATGATATCACTTCTGAAGCAAATAATAGCACTTTATCAAATGGTGGGCTTGTTTTTGCAAATTTTATCATACTAAATCACAAGTTTCATTGATGAATTATTTTGATAATCTTGATATATCCTCTTAGAATAAGTGTTTATTTTCTGTATTTTCTAAATACAACCAAAATACTCCAGAACATATTCTCAAAAGAAAGTAAATCAAGTGGATGAAGATTTTGAAAAGGTTGAAAAGAATCAAAAAATAAAGAATTTGTTGAAAAATCTCTTACTGAAAATGTATTTTATAACTGTATCTTTAATTTTTAATTATTAATTAAATAATGTAAAACTTATTATTTGCAATATATAAATGACAAAACATTAAATAAATATAATAATTATTATTTATAATGTATAAATGGCAAATTTTATTAGATATAATCATTATTTGTTGTTATGTTATAACCACTTAAAAGATAATATGCAAAACTTCGCCATAATCATATGTGTTTGCTGAATAATTGTTATGATCCTGCACCTTTCACATTATTAACAATACTATAAACTTCAAATTAGCTCTTGGCAGTTCTGTAAATAGCATCACAATGTACTTCTGTATAATGTCAAATTTTATTATGAAGATAAGTTTATAGATTTACTAAACTTAAATTTAATTTTTTTTTAATTTCTTGTCTTATTTCCAATAGCATTACAATGTTAATATAGTACAAGACATCTATACTCAACAGTTATATGAAATGTTTCAATTTTTTAAATAGCTATAACTTTTTGTCTAAGAGGTTTTTAAAAAATCTGACCAGTAACTTTATAGAGCTACATTAGCTCTATATATATAACAAATATCTTTTCAAAATCTCATCACTGTAAAAAGTTTTAACGATTTAAAAATTAAAATTATATATATAAATTTATAAATTTATATATAAAATTTCAATTTACAAATCGCTAAAACTTTTTACAGTGATGAGTTTTTGAAAAGATATTTGGTAAATATGTAGAGCTGATGTATCTCTATAAAGTTACCAGTTAGATTTTTAAAAACCTCTTAGACAAAAAGTTATAGCCATTTAAAAAAATGAAACACTTCATGTAACTGTAAAGTATAGATGTCTTGAACCATAGGTTTTTCATGCATTATTTCATAATTTAAAAATACATTAGCTTCTGCTACTGGAATATTAACTTTAATTGAAATTTTGGCACTACAATTAAATTAGAAAATTCTTTTTCAACTTGAGTTTTTATATTCATGTTCAAGGTTATAACTCTGAGCACATGCAAAATATATATTTCCAACACTATGATACAAGACAAAAAGTTGTAGCTGTCCAATTATATCTATCACTATTTTCAATTTTATTAACTATTATTGTGGCCATTGCTTTATCATTAGTGCCTATAATGTTAAGTGTGATCTCATTAATTTGAATACAAAAGACAAGAGAAAATCTTGATTAAATTTCTAAATCAAAAATTGTACTAACAATGTAATCATTAATATCTTGAACAAAAATTGTTTCAATAGCTTTTTTACTATCTAATTGATTATTTTTAGCAGCTTCTCCTTATCTTTAACCTTATATTTAGCACAAGTTTTATAATCTTTGCCTTCATATATAAATTCATTAGACAAAAGAGTACATGAGCAAGAAGTACAGTAAGGCATTGAAAATATATTGATAGGTTATATTTATTTTGTAATTTAAAAAGTTTAATAGATTGGTCTCACTATTAATATTCAAAAAAAAAAGTTTAATAGATTATAAAAATTAATAACTAATTCTTAATTTTTATTTTATTAAAATTAATATTCAAATATTAAAGTAATTTTTCTTAAATCTAAGTATTTATCAAGTCAAATAATTATAATTAGTTTTTTTTTTGCCTGTTTATTAATTAACTACATTTTTTAGAGTTTTTATATTTGAGATAATACAAAAATGCTAAAAAACAGTAAGTTTGTCTTAAATTAAAAATAAATTTTTGCATATTAATAATTTAATTGAAAAACTTTTTATGATGTGGTTTTTTAGATATTAGCTTGATCTCAAGGTAATGTTTTGATGATTGCATTAAACTCGATAAAGATGTGATAATTTAAAAGATGTATATTATACAATGTGGTTTTCAGATATCAACCTGATTCTCTAGGTAATGTTCTGGCAATTTATTTAATTGCATTAGACTAGATAAACAATAATTTAATTAAAGGATATATGGAACTAACAAAAATTAGTTTTATTAAAATTTACATAGAATAGGAATCTGTGCTTATTAATCAAATTTTTTGTGTATAAATTTCAGCTTTATTTATAATTTACCATTTTGATTTATATTGATATGTTTAATTATTTTATTTTTCTCTGCTGCTCTGTTCAAAATTTAGTTAATACTACATAAAATTTTTTCTTAAATTGAGATTATTTTTACACTCTAATTAATTTAATAATCGGGGTTATTTGTTTTATTATTAATTCTTGCAAATTATACAGTAGAACTTAAATATAAAAAAGAATTATTTTGCAACAAAATGAAACCATTATGTAGATCACGTGGTGAAGTACGCTTTAGTGTATAAAAAACATACTAATAAGGTAGCTGCGCGACGATGTCGCGCGACACCAGGAACGTAAATTTATTTATGAGCCAGATATTTCATGCAATATAGCAGCTTTTCCAGACTGGTTCTAATAATTGCAAATCGTGTTCCACATGTGACGCAATTGTGA